TCACCTATGTTTACTAGGTAGAAAAGCTGCAGCTTGGTTCATCCTTTCCTGAAACTTCTCACATAATAAAAAGGAACCACCTGCATTTCCCTTATTCTGGCTCTGGGATTCAACATGCACGCCACTGTTTCCGGAGGATAGTAGAGCTTCGACAGCTGTGCGCGGGACTCACCTGCCACGGGTGGGCATGGGGGGGTGGGGCATCCTCAAGCCGGGACGCCATCCCAGATGATTCTGATTCAGTAGATCTGGGCTGGGCTCAGGAATCAGCACTTCAGGAAATGACTTTGTTGCATGCGGCTTCTGATTGCATTCTAGAAGTATAGGTACCAGGATTAAGATACTTGTTCTAAGACCATGTAATATAAATATTTAAGATTAACAGCTAAAGTGTGATGGCACATGGCCATATGATGAAAAAATGACATATTCTTGGTTTCATACAATAACTGTATCCTATGCATTTATAGTTTCTCTACATAGAAACCAGTGACTCAGCTGGGTGCAGGTGGCACATGCTTCTAATTCCAGAATTCTAGGAGGCTGAGGCAGGGTGATTCCGAGTTCCAGCAACTAGACAACTTAGCAAGCCTGTATGTCAGACAAGAGAAAGAAAGAAAATTTTAAGAGGGTTAGGAATGTAGTACAGTATGAAGGCCCTACGTTCAAATCCTCAGTACCATTGCAACAAAAAAAGAAAAAGAATCTGAGTCATAAATTGAGTTTGTATGAGTTTTTATGTTCAATTTTTTTTTTTTTTTTTTTTGTCTTTTTGAGACAGGGTTTCACTATGCCATTCAGACTGGCCTTGAACTCATTTTGTAGCCCAGGCTGGCTTCAAACTGGAAGCAATCCTCCTGCTTGAGCCTCTCAAATCTGGAATTATAGGTGTGCACCACCACATCTGGCTCTGTCCAATCTATAAGTGACTTCATTAGGCGTATATTGTAACAGTTGTTTAGTCACAATTTTTAAATCACCAAACAGAAAATAGATAAATGAAAACAAACACACAAAAAAGGAGGATCATGAGGATGATTTCCATGAAATTCGTAAGAATTTATTAAGCTAAATTACATAAACAGCTGTACAAGGGTCTGTCAGGTATTTAACTGAGGCAATTCCTTTTAAAATAAACCATATAGAGGGGCCGGGGATATAGCTCAGTGGTTCAGCACCTTCTTGGAAAGTGCAAGGTCCTGAGGTTGATTCCCAGGGCCAAAAAAGTAAGAGAAACCACAAAGAGTCCAGGTGTGGTAGCACATGCTTGTAATCCCACCACTTGGGAGGTGGAGGCAGAGGGATCATTGAGAGTTTGAGGCCAGCCTGAGTTACAAAATGAGTTCAAGGCCTGCCTGCACTGCATAACAAAATCTTGTCTCAAAAAATAAATAAATTTTAAAAAATAAAATAAACCATATAGGTCACATAGTCCTAATAAAATATGTTGATGAATCTTTTGAGTCTTTTGTGTCTTTTGCCCTGATTATGTCTCCTCGGGGAGTGGAGAACTCATTAGCATGAGTTCCATGTTAGTCCTCCCTGCCTTCTTCCTCAAGTACTTTCCAGACAGGCTCAGTATAAAAAGGTCTCCAAAATGTATGCAGCAGGGCCATTTCAAATGAATAGCTAACTCATCCAGCCCACTGATTAAATACATGACCCCCCGTGGTACAAAAAGGCTGCTGTGCTTCCTTAAGTTTATTTTTGAAAAGTAAGTTTGGGGAGGAGGTGGAATAGGGAGAGAAGGCTCTATAAACTCTTGATTCTCCATATTCAGCTGCAGTGGCACAAGCGCCTGCCTGGCAAGTGTGAGGTTGTGAGTTCAATCCCCATAACCAAAAAAATAACAACCAACCAAACAAACAAACAAAAAAAACCAAGTGGGAATACTTGTGCTAGCATATTCAACTGCAAATGCACATGTCCCAACCCAGAGGGAAATCCTCAACACTGAGAAGTTAAGTTAGTTAGTTAGCAGGGGTGTGTGTGTGTGTGCATGTGTACAGAGTGAGAGAAGAGAGATAAACTTGTTTGGTTTCTAAAACAATAAGTAGAAAAACAGGTTGTTTAGGGTAAAGTCCCCTGAACTAGAAAATTGATTGTAGATACATTAGCCTATAAAAGTACCTTATGCTTATGTCACGCTTTGAAAGGTTCCAAACAGTTTTACATTTATATCTCATTTGAGTTTCACAACAGCCCTATGAAATAGGTAGAGCAGGTATTATAATCCACCAGCATCACTTAAAAGATGGCTAAATGAAAGCACAAACATGTCAAGAAACTTGTCTGAGGTCACATAACCAGTTGGTTTCACAACTAGAACTAGAACACCAGGATTCTGAAACTGAAGCCTGTGTTTTCTTGGCAGAAAGTGTCTGCCACTGCTTGATCTGCCCAGGGTTCATGTGGAGATTTGTGGCTACAATTTAATTGGAGAATACAAATCAGGCATGCCTAAAGAGCTCTACAGAAAAGAGATTGTGTCTTTTAGATCATGGCTGTGTTAGAAAAAGGAAGTATAAAATGGAGTCAGTTGTTTTGGACAATGCAAATTAAAAACAAACAAAAACACTTTGTAATCAGTTTCAGGGTATTTTGGGGGCAATTCACTCATTAAACAGTGCATTCATGTTTAAAAAGTATCTATTAAGTATCTTTTATAAGAAACTGCTTCATATTTTGGGAAGACTCAAAGAAATGCATTTAAGTTTTTCAGGATCTTGCTTTGAATTATACAGATAATCACCATTTTATTCACTGTACATTTCCACTTAGTAGATGAAATGAAAAACTGCCTTGCGCAGAAGCAAACTTAAGAAAAACAGGGCAATTAATTTCCTTCCATCTCTCCTTGTAGGAGGCACTCCCCCACCCCTTTTTTAACCAAGGTGATGAATTGTACCTGCCAGGTACACAAAACAAGAAATTTGCTATGTTATCTAATATAATACATTTTAACCCTAATGCTTCCTGGACACTAGGGTGACCAGGCTCAGGTTAGTGCCAGGTTCATGCCAGATCCAGATTGAAGGGAAAACTTAGGACAGGGTACAAAGCGTTCTATACCCAAAAAGCATTTCCAAAGGTTGGGGACAACTTTCTATAATATTACATACCCTCCCCCCCACCTCCAGCTTCAAAAAAGAACTTTTCCTCTAGGTAGGTACTGTTGAAGATGCAGACAAAAGGAAAAGAGGCAAGGATGTGTACTAAGAAACATTCCACCGAGTGGTCGTTGAGGTTCTTGTCTTCGTTTGTGTGGAAGATAAACAGGATTATACTAACAGGTGCTATGGGTTGGTCATCCTTTTCTTTTTCTTTCTTCTCTCTTCCCATCTCCCCTCCTCTTCCTCTCTTTCTTCTCCTTCCTCTTCTTTTTCTAATATTTTCCTAGAAAAATTTGTCTTCCTGGCACAAACACCTCCAAACCTGAAGGTCAAATTTGTATTAACACTGACATGCACTGTAATTGTTTAATGGTGTTTCTTTAGTCTATACTGTCTGTACACAGAGTGTCACTGAGGGCAATTTCTTTTTGTTGTTGTTTTGTTCAGCCCCACAGGTGAAACAGCATTCGTATGCATTATAAATTTATTTGCATTGTGTGTGAAGAGTGAAGTTAATCTTAGCTCTGTCCTTATTGTTCTTATTTTGCTCTTCCAGGTTTCTGTTTCCCACTTGTAGAACTACAGATTTGAAGTAGGTGAGCTCTAAAGTATGTTCCAACTCTATCATCTGAGGAATATGAATGTGTCTGTTATATTTACAACAGGTTACCTCACTCAGTTGGTACCCTTAACACTATAGTTAGGTTCTGTTTAGAGAAATTGATCACATTTGGGTATGCAATCATAATTTAGATGAAATGTTTATTCACTTTACAAAATTGTTTTGTAAAATAATTTCAAATTTTCAGTGAATAACGTGCTGGTTATGCATTTAAAATAATGATTTATTTTAATCTATGTTTTCAGGAAAAGTAATTTAGAGTGGGATTTGTGCTGAATAGCCAACACACACACATAGTCATAAAATGACAGTATTTTGGAATGTTAAAGGACCTTGGGAAATTTCAATCCAACATCTACATTCTACAAAATAAGGAACTCTAGACCAAATGAGGTTACTTGTTAAAGACCAGACAGATGTTCAAAAAAGGTTGTGCAAAGAAAATAGAATATTTTCAGTATTTTTCTATTCATATTTCGAGAATACAGCTCTACATTCACCTATGAAGGAAAAAAGTCATAGATGCTTAGTGTTTAAATCAAGGAATATTATTAAAAACAAAGGTTTATAATGCAGATTCATGTGGATACATTTTAGTAAGTCTAAATAACAGATTCACACCCATTTAAAGCTAGGCCACTTGAGTTTAGCCTTGCTGACCTTAGAATTACTATTGAAATAGCACAGTACTCTATCATTGTCTAAAATTATTTTAGATATTATAGTTTATTGTGATTTCTATAACCTGTGAATATACATTGAACTGTCAGTAATATGTTTCCTAATACTGGCACTCATTGAAATTCTAGGTATGCTAGTAGGTGTCAGTAGGACTTAAATCGCTGCTGCCAATTATATTAGTAAATTATTTTTGTCTTGTATTCAATTTGATATACTTTTATAATGATGTATGACGAATGGAAAAAATATAAGCGATTGCTAAACAGTTTCAAGCACACATCTTTATTTTTGCCATTAACCTCAGTATCTGAAGTTAGGGCTCTTTAAAACTCGTGCTTCTAGTGATTCATTGACTCGCACTAAAAATCAGTGCCTCCGTCCCCCAGTCACCCAGTTAATTTTAACCTTGATCTCCCACAGCTGTACTGCTTTACTCGGTCTAAAAAAACTCCCCTATTCCACCCTTTTTCCTTCTTATGAAGCAATAGTGGGGAGGAAAAACAAAACCCATTCCTTTAAGAAAGATTCCGCCCCCTCTCTGAGAAGCAAGCGCCTACTGGTAACTGCGGAGTCTCTACCAAGTCCTACACTTTACTACTCAGCATTGGGAAGAGCTGCTGCCGCTGCCGCCGCCGCCGCCGCCGCCGCTGCTGGCCCGAGGCTGCAGCGGGTTTCTGTGCAGCAAGCACTGCAGAACCCACATCAGGGAAAGGAAGACACAGACACACGTCTGCTGCCCTGCACACCCAAAGGCTTCAGATCTTCTGGTAAGCAGATCGTTTACCCACTTTGCTTAGGAACTGTGGGAAAGGGAATGGTCGTGGAAAAGACATGCTTAAAACGATTATGTGAATTTGCTTTGGTGACGGTGGGGTCTAGGTCTATGACTGACAGATGCTCTGTATAGGACAGACTATTACCAGAGATGCCCTTAGCATATTGTGTGTGTGTGTGTGTGTGTGTGCGCACGCTCGTTCCATTAAAAAGCTAATCTTGATGCATGCAAAGCTTTTTTTCTTTGCTTTTTAAATGCAAGAAAACATCCAGCCACTCCCAGTATCTCTCTGTAACACTGCAGATATTTTAAAATGCCGAATAAAATGACAAGCCGAGCATTTTCTAAATACTGTTCCCTCACCAAAGGCAGGAAGTCTTCCTTCCTCACAATTGTTTAGGAATATTTCAAAACAAGGCATGGTTAGATTTTTGAACAAATGGGAGATGGTGGTAGCTAAAATTCCTATAGCCTTCGAGCAGATGAAGCTAAATGAATCACAGCTTGAGGCAAGACAAGATTCATTCCCCACATTTCGTACGTGGGAAGAGGAAACTACATTTAATTAACACATTTTTAGGGGACAGGGAGGGGGTGAAGATGAGGGGGGATGGTGTGTGGTATTTGAGGAGTCTGCAGAGGAGGAAGGAAATGAAGTGGACTGTCGCCAGTGCTTGGGAAAGACGGGAGATAAGGGTGGGGAATGAAGTTTGTTCTGTGTCAGGGTGGGGTTGACCCGAGAGACCATGAATCACTAGCACTGCCGGGGAGGGGTGGCTCGCGGGTGAAACCGCGCTGAGGAAGGACATGTGTGCGGGAGAGCTGTGCGTGCCGTGGGTGGCAGAGGAGCGTGTGCACCGCTGGGAGGTCTATTTCGAGAAGAGGCTGGGATGCGAAACGTGTCTGGGCGGTGGGGTGGGTGGGCGGCCCAGTGTCACCTGTGGATGGATCCCCAGTTCCGCGATCGAGTGCTGCAAAGTTTGGCGGCCTCGGATTCATTTCCAGGCTGCGCGGGGACGCCTCGGCCCTCGCCCTCCCAAAGCTCGGCTTTCTGAGGACGTGAGACGAGGGGCCACGCGGCGGCGAGGCGGAAAAGGGGGCACCCACGGGGGCTTTCATGCCCGGCCCTTCCGCGGCTGGGAGCCGAGCGGACCAGCGCCCCCAAAGGCAAAGGCGCCGGGGGCCAAGCCAGGCGCTCAGAGACGCGCGCCAGGCGCCCCCGGCAGCGCCCCCCTGGGCCCTGGCTGCCAGCGACCAGCGGCAGGCGGCAGCGCTACCCGCCCGCTGGGGGCTCGCCCTCAGGCCAGCCCGAGACGTTTCTGAGGCGCCCCTCCTCCCCCTGGCGGCCAGGTTTCCGTCAGGGTCGGAGCTACACGGCCGGAGGAGGGCGGAGTAAAAGCGCCAGGCCGCCCCCTGCCACGGTCCCTCCCGCTGCCGAACGTGAGGCCCTCGCGGCAGCCACGACACAAACGCCGCGACGCTTGCGGCCCGGAAGGGGACTGCGGGGGCGCAGTCCGCGCGCTCAAGGGGCGCACGGGGCGGAGCCAGGGAACCCGATGGCCCCGCCGGGGGCGGGTCTTGGAGGGGGCGGGACCACGGCGCGGGGGTGGGGTGGGGCGGGTCTTGAGGGCGTTTAGGGCGGAGGGAGTGGGCGGGGCTAAGTCACGCTGGAGGGGACCTCGGCCAGTCCCGCTGGAGAGCCAGCCGCCAGCCCTTAACGGTCGCCCCATGAGGGGCGGGGGGCAAGGGGGAAAAGACTTCAATTATATTTTTAAAATATCGAGCGCCAAAGGCTTCGGCGACCCAGGTGTCGCCGCTTTCTGCCGCTCAGGGCTCGGGCGCCAAGTCCGTGTCTCCCGCCCCCCTCTCACCCCTCCCCGTCCCGAGCCCTCCGCTCGGGACCGAACGGCGCTTCAGAGGCAGCTGCGGCGGACCCAGAGCTCGCGGCGGCCGGGCCCGGCGGCTGCGCGGCGGTCGGGAGCACAAAGCCGGCCGCGCGCAGAGAGGTAATCCTGCGAGGCGGGGAGACCCTCCCGGGTCGTGCGCGGCGGGGCCTTTCCCATTGGCTGTCCCCGCGGCCTCAGGTGAACCCCGTGGGGCTGGAAGGGCTGCTGCGCGCGAGCGAACCTGCGGGAGCGTCCGGGTGGCTGCGGGCTCGGCTCGGCTCACGGACTGTTCAGGCTTCCGTGCGGGGCGAGGAGTTGCAATGCGGTTCTCGCCTGAGTGAGTTCCTAAAACCCGAGAGGTGCGCTCCGAGGTGCTCCTGCGCTTGGAAGAGGTGGGAGAAGGGAGGGAGGAAGAGGTTGGTTTGTGCTTTGTGTTGTTTTTCTCGTTTATAGCAGCGCCTGTTAAGAAGTTCAAAGTGTTGAGCCACTTTTCTTCTCTAATCCACATCTTTATCTCCGTGCCCCCCCCCCGCGTGCGCACGCACACACGCGCTCACACACGAGCACACACACCACCCCAATAAAAGTGTATGTGTTAGGTTGCACTTTTTGCCTGGGGTGACAGGCAGACTTGGCAGCAGGTCTGGTTTGCTGGTGCTTGGGGCACATCTAGCCCCTTCGGAGGTATGCTGTTATAGCTGTGGAAAGACTACTGCCGAGTAGAAAGCTGGGCCTCTTGTATGCGGGCAAGTATGCCCTCAGGTGAACTTTGTTTGCAGATTGAGTTGAAAGTAGGTTGCCGTGTAAGATGGGAGCATAAGGAAAATGACTAGTATTCTAGGCACATGTACTGTTGTAGTTGACCTGCTGCTGTATGGGATTTAACTCATCCGAGAGGCTTTGAGTAAGGATTATATGCAAAATTGGTAAAGGAATTGCTAAGATTCTGGGGCTTGAGGCTGCTACATAAATGTGTGTGCATGTTTACATTGAATTATGCGACATTTTAGGTTTAGCAGTCTTGAAATGGTTGCCTTTCTTGGAATGGATTCCATCTGCATTGTGCTGAGTACCTCTTGATTTTGGTTTTAGAATACTTCCAGTGAATATTGAAGAAAGAGTACAGTGTGGTTTGTCGTTAAGATTCTTGGCTAGTAAAAAGACATGCAGTTATGCATTCACTGTATTGGGCTAAGTTACTTTGGGAGCATTTGTATGAAGATTTTGTATATAAGTCTTCATTGCATTGTATTTGCAGTGTGTCTCATTCTCTTAAATCGAACAGATTAACTGTAGTGAAAAAAGACCAGGAAAAAACTTGGCACATTTCATTTTCATGTCTCTGGAGGTCAGTCTTTATCAACTTAAAACTGACCTGAAGTGGTGGCCTGTTGGTGATACTTGCTTTTAAAGGAAAAAATAGCAAAATACCTATTTTAAACATTCAACATGATTTAAGGCTTTTTTTTTTTTGAGATACTTGGTTATGAGACATTTAATGTGTTGTAGCTTTTTACGTGTCTGACATCAGGAAATGTTTGGTTAACATTTGGTATATGACATAGGTGGTCACAGGATACTTGGAAACATCTTACATGGTAGGATTATATTTTTAAAGTGTAAAATATGAGAAAATTGTATACCTTGCCGTTTCTAACCCTTTTTTCAGTAATATTCTGCAGTGAATGTGAGTTCTGCTCAATGATGTGGATTTTTTTCTTTGTAAAAGCAGAATGTTTTGGGGATTAGGAAATCATGACATCAACAACCCTTGTAACTCTTAACACACAAACCTAAAACCTAGATATAGCGTTGTGTCCAACTTATGAAGTGAGGTTTCCTGAAGCAGGCCTGTCTGCCAAGTGCTTCTGACACTTGTAAGAAGGTTAGCTGGTTAATGCCTCCTATCCCAGGGCAGTTGGTTCCCAGGAGTGGGCTGCATGTATGTAACTCTCCACAGCAGAAGCAGCATTTCTTCTGAGAAGAAAATCGAGCAAAACATGAAAACACAGCTACGAAAAGTTTGTTGGGTGCCATGCAATAATCATAGTAGAACATAGTGAAATTGTTACATTTGTAGTGGTTAGAGCACTCAGTTTGTACTCAGTGAGTGTTGTCACTGGTGTATAAAGTGACATCTTTTTTAAGGCATTTCGGTCATGCTACCCAGCACTGAAGATTCAAGTATTTGTAACAGCCAGTGCAGGATGTATTTGCTTTATCTCTGTGTTAGGAACTTTCCTGATTTAATTTACTGAATCCTCCCAATAACCTAGTGGCTAAACAGAGAGATGGAGAGAATAAGTACCTTGCTGGTTCAAAACCCAGTCTGGCCCAAGAGTGAGTCTGTGTAACCACTGGCTGCTGCTGCAGTGATGGCAGACAGTGCACTGACTGTGTCACTGGAAGCTCTGAAAGGCTTTCCATCACTGACCTATAGAGATGGCTGCACATGAAAGATTTTTATGATATTCCAGGGAGGACTAGCTGTGCATAAAGGGTTAGCCACACCCTCTCATGGTAATACTGTCACTAGTTGTGTTTAATCTGAAGGATGGTGATAAATCTTCAGCGTCAACTTTTGACTTTAAAAGAAGATTCTCTTGATACATACATCATGTGTTTAGTTATGATGCTAGATTTTGACCTAGAGTATGTTGTCTCTTTAACTAGTACTAAAGATATTAAAGTCTTTCTATTTTTAAGTTTACAAGGTGGGTAGGGCTCCGGTTGACCTAAAGAGCACTAATGTATGTTGTTTGTGCACCAAATCAATAGACTTGATCCTTGTTTTGATTTGTAGTACCATGTAAACCTAGGGTGGATTTAAATTTAAATTTGTTCTAAATACCACCTGAGTTGCTTCCTAAAAGTAACTGTAAATGAAAAGATGTAATTTGTGGTTTAGACTTTATCATCACATTCTTCACAGGAACTGTGTATTTTTTGCTGCTTCAGTGTCATTGATATGTCAAGGAAATTACAAATAAAAAGCATTTAAAAGTTATGTGAATAGCTGATACGTTCTTTGCTGACAGTTTAGTGAAATGTTATGGTATGGAAAAGTGAAGACACACACTGAATACACAAAGTGCAAGCTCCTATGTCTCCAAGACATAGGTTGCTGATCTGTTCCACCACTTTTTTTTTTTTTTTTTTTTGCTTAATGTTTACTGTTGTTTAAATTTCTTTAAAGATACTAAATATAGAGTTTAAAGGGAAAAAAAAAACTTTAGATGTTGGATCGACAATGCTTTCTTTTTAAGTTGATGGGTCAGGGATGGTGGCGTACACTTGTAACCCCAGCACTCAGGAGGCTAAGGCAGGAGAATTATTGCAAGTTTGAGACCAGCCTGAGCTACAAAGTGAGTTCAAGGCCAGTCTGAACTGCAGAGTGAAACGCTGTCTCAAAAAGACTAAATACATAATAAAGTCAATGCATGTGAAATTGGTGAAACTCAATTTGCAGTTAAATAGTACCAGATTGAGTCATGTCATTTAGATTAAAATGAATGCCTTAGCGTTTTACTTCTTGTCTCCTATGTTAATACTCTTTATCATTTGAATTTAGGGGCCATCCCATAGTATTTTTAGATGTGATTGTTATAAAATCTTGTGGGTTCTGCTAGAGATTAAATTATATTGGCCAAAAGCTAAGTCAATCCAAATTTTTACTGTAATGGCTTGTATATAGCCAGAATTCTCTCTAAAACACACAAGTCAGAAATCTTTCATTGACTGTGGCTTCAGTGAAAAAAGTGTTATCCCTTAGATGAATTTCTAGCAGCCCTCACTATCTTACCCACAGTTTTGTTTCCCACAGTTTTCGGTTACCAGTGTTCAGTTGCAGTCCAAAAGTGTTAAGTGTAAAATTTCGAAAATAAATAGTTTATAACTTTTAAATAATTTTTACTTCAGTATATTGTTTTACTTGCATTATTGTTGTTACTCTCTTACTATGTCTTAATTTATAAATTAGCTTTATCGTAGGTATGTAGACATAGAAAAAGCATGAGTATATATGGAATTTGTTACTGTCAGTGATTTCAGGCATACACTGGGGGGCTTGGAATATATCCTCTTGAGTAAGGAGGAGCTACCATAATTATTTATTCTTCTGGTGGTAGCTAATTATGGACATTGTTTATGTGTGTGACTGTACCACTTATAAGATTCAGTTTCTTTCAGGTAGACTTAAAAATCATTCACTTGAAAGTGAGCTCAAGGCCAACCTAAACTGCATAGCAAAACCCTGATTCAAAAAGACCAAAAAAAAAAATTATTCATTTCATACTCAGTAATTGTTTACTGAGTACCAACTGTTTTAAAAACGTGTTGGCGAATAAAAAATTTGTGACTTTTTGTTTATTTACTTCATGCTTTTTTTTTTACTTTTTGAGAGAGGATCTCACTGTGTAGCCCAGACTGGCCTTGAACTCACAGAGATCCTCCTGGTGCTGGGATTATGCTGAGCACTTTTATGCATGTTTTAATATGGTGCTCCTTATAGTTGTATGTCTCAAAATAAAGTTCAAAATTAAATTAAATGCACAATTGAAAATACTTGCATTTAATTTATTTTTGCATATTGCAAAAGTATTTACCCTAAAATCTTAGATAATGAGTCTCTTGTTTCCTTAAACTATTTTTGGTTAAATAATCCTTGAAAAACTGCATTAATGATCTCTTTTTAGGCTTTTCAGACATAATTTACTATATGAAGAGTATCTCAGGAATCTTAAAGAATGAATGTAGCCTTCAGGAGTTGTTTGTTGTAATGTAAATAGTAGTACCATGACCATGAGAAGGTATAATATGGATGAAATGTATGTTTGATTTGAAAAGATTGATTCTTATAAATTTGCTTCTTGAGAAAACAGTGTAGAGTATTCTGTGCTAAAAGCTGAACTGCTATGGTACAAGGTGTACGTACAATCTTTAGCGTATGGTTTTAAGTTTATAGTAAGGTTAGATTTAAATTGAGCTTTTCTTCGGTGCCAGACTGATATGCATTGCCCTCTTACACATTACATTTCTGTGTTTTAATGTTGGCTTTAGTTAAAGCTTAGTGGAAATGCTAAGTCTTGCTGGTACTGGATGAACTTTGAAATCTCTTTGTTTCAAATTCCCTGACACCAGGCTTAACAATATGGGTGTGTAGGCGTACATTAGTTGGCATTTAAGAATTCTGTTTCCTCAAACATGGCTTGCATTTGTATCTCGGGTTATGAAAGTCATATTTTCTGTAGTGGGCATACCTGTTTTTTCTCACAGCCGAATGGGGTAAAAATAATTACAAGAAATATAAGGGCATCACTAGTATCAATGTCTCAAGTCAGTTGTATTCATACAATAATATTATTTTAATGGTCACATACATTAAAGCAAATAGACATCAAAGCTGAGCATTGGGTTAAGCAAGATTAGCACTTGATTCCAGGGAACATATATGAATTTTTTTGTTTAACACTCATCCCGTTTAAATTAATCTTGGGATTTTTTTAATTT